GGATATACCGACATGGCGAAGGAAAAGCTGAGCAATGCCGGTGATGCAATCAAAGGCGCTGCAGGAACGGCAGGCCAGAAGGTATGTTTTACCATTCATGTTTTCGGGCCTGGGGCTATTCAGAGCAGTCGGTATTGAAGGTTGTGGAGATGAAGGATGAACTGACTAAAGAGGAAAATGTGGAATACGCTAAAGAAAGGCTGGCTGCAGCTAGCCAAGCTCTAAGTGATGCCATGGAAGTGGCTGGTACTAGGGTGAGTAGTTCCGTTCATTTCTACCCTATTTTACCCCCAAAAATTGTAATTTTCAGGCGGCAGAAATAAAGGAAGCCATTTTGACGGATGAGAATAAGGAATACGCCAAAGAGAAGTTAGCTCTGATCGCAAGCGTTCTCAAAGACGCTGCCGTAACGGCCGCCAATGCGGTATGCAAATTCCGCTCTGCTGCTGTCCTCCTCGTACCCATAAGTTTTCGAATTTACAGGCTGCAGATGTCAAAGACCAGTATACCACTGAAGAATACATGGAATACTATAAGGAATTGTTGAACGATGCCCAAGATACTACAAAGGACATCGCTTGGAAGGTCTGGAGCAAGGTAATTGTCAATTGGGTTGATCATCGCATCGTTCTGATCGTAACAGTTATAGGCCGGAGAACTCAAAGATCACTACACCTCCGAAGAGTACATGGAATACTACAAAGAAAAGTTAAGTCAAGCTGGTAGTGCTCTCAAAACTGCTGCAGAAATAGCTGCTAACAAGGTAGACTAGTAACTGAGTTGAGACTAATTGAGTTCTGCTGAGACCTCGGCTAATTCGAAAGGTGCCCTGAATTGGGCTCTTGTAGGCTGCGGAGATTAAAGACAGACTGGCTAGCGAAGAGAATCAGGAAGCGGTTAAGGAGAAGTTGAACGAAGCCGCAGAGGGAGTGAAAGATACAGCACGAGCGGCTAGGAGTAAGGTAGGATACCCACAGGGATCACCTGATTATGATACTATTCGATTACTGACTTTAAGGCAGGAGAGCTCGCAGAAGATCTGAGTGACAACGAATATGTAGACAGCGCCAGAGAAAAGCTTAATAGTGCTGGTAGCCAGGTCAGGGATATGGCAGGACAAGCTAGAGACAAGGTGAGCAAGTCCAATCAGACCTCCACGGGA